CTGCACGCTAAATCGTTCGAGAGAAACGTGCCTTACTGACGTATAGATCAATTCGTTTCTTTTTCCAATAACTTAAATGTACACGAATGATGCATAAAAATATAAAATACCTTTAGCTAACTCTCAATTAAAAAGAGAGGGATTTCGAAATAATGTTTTAGCACTCGCACATACCCAACTTTTTCTTTATTGGACATAAAGATTGTACGGGGGGAAAACTGTTTTTCCTCATGGTGATCTTCCAATACTGATTAATCACTACATGCTTTTTGATCTTGTATACATACAGCAAACTGTGAAATTACATAAAACTAGTCAGATTGTAGTTGTGCATACTTATCCTAGTGGTTGCAAGTTAAATCCAAGATGATAAAAATAAACAATATTTCTGTTTCCATAATTATGTGTACACAACAGTTGTGCATTCTCATCCAAACGGTTAGGAATCAAATTCCCGATGCTAAGAGTAAATATTACTTTTACTCCGTTTATCTGTATAGATACACAATATTTGTGCATGATTATCTTAGCGGATAGCCCCTTATTAGCTCAGCGATAAGTCTGGAGGCTTATAACGCTAAATACCGGGTTTCGATATCCGTGGTGGGCACAGCACAAATAGACCATTGTATGGCTTTGTGCTTAACTACAAACAATCAAACAACCTAGTGGTTACAAGTTACACCCTCGGTGTTAAATGTAAACATTATCTCTGCGGACTTAGATATGAAACATGCACATGCTTATTCAAATAATTACAAGTTCACACCTACTGTTAAAAGTGAATTAGTTTTATAAATGGTGTGGCGATACAGGGATACGATACGAGTATCGTATCGTGAAGCCGTGATACGATTGTATCGATACATCGTCCAATACGATACGATTTATGTATCTTCACGAAATATAGCAATCTTTCAGGGAACATTATAAGTCTTTTATACAGAAAAAATCAGAATTTCTAATAACATATTTTTGCTAAAAATTAATGTTTTAATATATGGAGTCAAATTAATTACTGCTCCGAGTGTAAAGCGTAATGTCTAAAACCTCTGAAATAAATTTCCAACTGTTTTTCGATATATCTTCATATCTTATCTGCTATATTTCTTACCCTAATTTTATGTGAAGTCGGTCACTTTGACCAACCTCGTAACCACCATAAAAAATAAAAAATAAATCAAAATTATCCTTTTTTTTCTTTCTAGAATTTCTTCAAATTGTAGCAGGAAACTACACTTGTTTACACAAAATAACTTAAAGCTCTTAACATTATACATCTGGTTCTAATTAAATTTTATTGTCAAGACTGTCAAACTTTGTAATAAACCGTTGGTAAAACTTTTGTATCTAGATTCGTATCGTATCGCAGCATCAATATCTAGATACGTATCGTATTGATTACTATCGTATCGTATCAGCCCTACTATATATATATATATATATATATATATATATATATATATGTATATAT